CTGAGGGTTTACTACTGTGCAGCACACAAACGTCATCAAAACCACATCAAGTCCCTAAAACCTGCAGCGATAAATGGCTGCAAAGAAGCGTTCACTTTGCTGTGACGTTTGCTTTGATATCTTTGAGCAGTCAAGACTTATTGGTGAGTTGGTTCAATTGGATTGGCATGGTTTCTGGTACAGACAGGGGTACCGTGGGCTCGTTTATCAGAATAATCCTTCTTGCGCTCGTGGGCAAAGTCTAGCTGTGACCTGGCTGAGTCAAAAAAGCAACGCAGATGGCGCCGTACGTCAGCAACGTATTCAGAAGGTTGTGAATAACCCGTCTCTCGAGGCGGTGGTGCCACGACATCTGCCGGCAGCCGCAATACATGTCCGAAGATCATGGCTGCTGGAGTTAGACCCGTGGAGGGTTGGACATCCGACCTATACGCAAGTACGCATGCCGGCAAGGCATCGTCCCACTAATTCCATGCGTATTTATCGTAATGCAGTTTGAAAAGCATCTTAAGCTGGGTAAGATCGAGCCCCTCGCCGTGTGCTTGTGTGCTTACCAATCGGTCTAGCTCCTCTGGGGTTGGGTGTGCCTGAGTCGTGATCGCCAATATGGGCCCATTATTCTGTTCATATACTACCGGTATTTCAAGCGACCCTAGGCGTAAACACCGCTGTGGTCGACTGTATTCGACCGCGTACCTGTCGAGGAAGTCTGACTCCAATATACCATCGTATGGCATGTCGTGTTATAAATTTAAAGTATGCTGGTACAGACTACCCACGATAGTGAGTGACACATCAACACACCACTTACTACGCATCACAGTACCTTTCGCGGCCATTACAATAATCGGCGACTTCACCTTATATGGTTCAAACGTTTTCCGAGGGAACCGTCGTGTGTTGACCAGGAAGAATCCGGCAACCGTATCAAATAGAAAGTGCATTAACCTATTGCATAGACCTATGGATATGAAGGGCCGGGTGTCAGTACATTACACATGAATGGCAGGACATGGGACTGACGCACGTGGAGGCTTCTAAGGACCTTCTCTGCTTCGCGGTTTCCCCATCCCCTATCCGCCGGGTCCCCTGAATCACGGCCTTTGAAATCTTTTAGTCCTTTGTCGTCACAGTTGTGCTTGACGTGGTTGATCTGAGATGGAGGGCGGAGCGCTATCTACCCAGATCGGGATCTACGAGAGAACCATCTCCACCTCTGCTATTGACTAAAGGAAAAGTCCTGGGTGCCGCTTTCTCACCTTAGCTTGTAGTCTCTTGATAACGAAGGCTACCATTAGGATCTCGAGTGAGGCTCCGGGGTAGTTATGTTGGATCAGATTGTATACGTCAGTCATGCAGTCGCTTACCCGTTCCCCGGCCCGGTAGCACTGACATGCGAGTTTCAGCTGACTGTGTTCAGCCTTCTCTGCGAAAAACGGAGACAATTTATTTAGTAGGTATTCATGTGTTGCCCCACACAGTAGCCTACCATAGCCGCAATACGCCTGGCAGGAGCGGCCAGGCCTCTCATGTGCTTGCGTGATCAGCAATCAGGATCTTTAAACTTCAAGTATTCCTACATTTTCTCCACCTACCCCTCGATGTCATCGTTGAGATTGAATTCGAGTTGGTAAGGCCGAAAGGTGCCACGTTCTCATGTGGCGTGGCAACTTAACGTGTACGTGTCTGTAACCGAGACGGTTCCGCTGTCACCAGTTGTACGCTTTGGCCCCATGGTATGGTCAAGAAGAGGATAAGACAAAATGGATTCATTGAATAAAGGCTGTACTACGCCACGCTCTAGTTACAATCTGGTCGAGTTTGAGAGGGATAACATGGTCTTTATATATGCTTGCACTGGTTGTTCTGTTCTCTCGTTGGTTCGTTCCGTGGCGCAGCAATGGAGGCAAAACACTCGTGAGCGGATTGGGTTTCAGTCCCTGGCGCGTCATTTAATGCCCGCGTGACGCCACAGGCAGAAGTCGCACCCCGGGTCACACGACGTTGCTACCATGGCGCGCTTCTCAACTTCGACCAATGGATTAACAACAATATGGCTGTAATCTGTCTCCCCGCTACAATTGGATTATGAAGTCTGGCGTCTTACTCTGCTTTGAATTTCAATTTTCCATTTGACCTATCCTCCAAATAATAAAGCGGTGGACAGTTCTTCTTTTATTTCAGGAAGCATGTTTCGTTTGCGAGGAATTCAACGACGTCTGCTAGCTCTACTTGTTATTGTGAGCATCGCAATTGTTCTGCATTTTTGTACAAAATTTATCCTCAAGAAGTGTTTCTTATGACAGTCACCAAAATTAAACAACATGACACAAGCTACTTTGCTGCCATCACTTCTCCAACCCACCAATACTGCCGGCAATTTCTACGCCGTCTCAGACGCCGATGCTGACATGGATATACCCTTTACATTGGTGGTTGACAAGGATATTAGTCAGATTGCTCGACTCCT